CCTGGCACGGGCACTGTAGCCAGTCCATGCCCCTTTAAGGGATCCGGGGCCGGGAGGGGGGCAGAAGAGTTTCCCTGGTGGTGTCCAGAGTGGCCACCAGGGAAAGCTGGGAAGGGCTAGCCTCCCACTAGTTTGAATTAAGTGGCTACACAGCCCTTAATTCAAACTAGTTAATTCGAACAAAGCATTAGTCCTCATGGAATGAGGTTTACCTAGTTCGGATTAAGCGCACCGCTAGTTCGAATTAAGTTCGAACTAGCGGTTTGCATGTCTAGAGCCTATCAAAGTTAATTCGAACTAACGTCTGTTAGTTCGAATTAACTTTGTAGTGTAGACACCCTACGAGAGTAAACGTGTTTAATCCTTGATGGCTCACCTGAATGCTAGTTTGATACTTTAGTAGCAAGACATTCCCTAGGAAATAGCCCATCCTCTGACTGCACTATTTCAACCAAACTTCATAATCATCTTTGCTGTGTACATACAGTATTAAAATGTTTTTCACCAAACACCTCCCTATCCCCATTTAGATTAATTTTTATGTGGAAATAGGATTATCTTAACATCATTTCACTTAAAGTAGCATTTTTCAAGAACATAATGAGATTTGTTCTGCTTTGTTTTTTAAATTAAAATTTCAGATCTTACTTTCTTGGGAAAAACACTAAGAATAAGAACTCTCTATATAAGACGCATTACCAGAGGAATAACACAAAAAACAGAAAAATATATTTTTTCTAATGTCATAACAAAACCAAAGACAACGTCTCCACCCTTTTCTTTGCATGTCACTTTTAAACACTTTTTCTTCCTGTCTTTTCTTCTTCTCCCCAAGCTTCCTCTTCTACTGCAAATGTTTGGAAGAAAACCAAAAGCTGCTTTGCTTCTTCTGTTTGTGAGGAGACACCTCAAGAGTTGGCTGCAGCTCCAGGTTGCCAAATGCTGCACTTTGTTCTTTCTGCAATCTGTGTGTGTAGCACAAAGGGGATGACTAACACTTCAACTGCCTGCAGACAGCATCACTGCTACTAACTTCAAAGGAGAGGAACACTATGCCACTGACTTATTGTCTTCTGGCCTTAGAGAAAATGACTTGCCCTTCTGTCTAAATTTCCCTATCTACAAAATGGAGATAATATTTGCCCGCCTATTTACATCCGTGAGAATTAATTAAATCTGTACGGTTCTTTGAACCTATAAAGCACTATTTAAAAATATGCAAAGTATTCTGAAAAATCAGGCACTCTTCTTCTGGAATAAGAACAGTCACCCACAGAGCTAATCAGTAATAATTATGTAGAATAACTCCCAATGAAGACAAACTCTTATTTGGAATTTTGAATATATCACACACTAATGGTTAACTCCTATAGAGGGAGTTCTGAACTTCTCCCACCAGTGAAATTTTGCTGTCACTGTAAGTAGTATGTGGCAACTGTTTAACACACAGCAACATTGCAGGAAGTAGTCTTATCTTTGTTGGGTTTTCATTAGGGATGTAAGCAAGTCGTTGAGTGTCTGATAAGCAAAAGTTTATCAGATAGTCTACACACTAGTCGACTATTCGCTCTTCCTTCCCGGCCCTCCCCACTACCTCTATCAGAAAGGCAGCAAATGGGGGAGGAGGGAACAGTGCTGAGGGGAGCCGGCTTAAAAGCCGGTTCCCTCCAGTTCTGTGGGAGGGGCAAGGGCACAGCAGTGGCATTCCACCTTGAAATGTACTGGAGTCCCCCTGGGGCTCCTGTACATTTCAAAGTGGAAGCACCACACAGAGCCCAGGCTCAGCGAGGGATGCCACTGGCCCTGGGTTCCACAAAGCATTTCAATCTTTGAAGTGCACAAGAGCCCCTGCTGGGGCTCTTGTACATTTCAAAGGCAGAACGCTGCGTAGCACTTCCACCGTTGAAATGTAGTAACGGTCAGGTGGGATCTTGCTATGTTTCGAAGTGGAAGTGCTCTTATCGACTATTTGAATAGTCGATGGAAATTCCATTGACTATTTGATTAGTTGATTAATTTTAACATCCCTAGTTTTCATAGCATACCTTATCACTGAAATAGCAGAGCCCTCTGTAATGAACATTATGTCCTTTTGAAATTGCAAGACAAAGGTAGGTTGTTTGTACTCTACAGATATTTCAGTTTATTATATCTTGGACAATGGGTGCTCCACTGGAACTTCAGAAATATTCAGATTGAGATTTAGTGATGGTCAGGTTTTCTACTAGATCTCAATGGCTTGTAATATGATGGCTAAGGAGAAAATAACAAATCTTAGAATGTGACAGTGCTGTTTCCCTTATGTCTTCCAGGAACTCCTTCAGTGGTCTGGCAGTGTGCAGAAGATTGGATAGGTTTTAATGGTAAATGTTATTATTTTTCCACTAACACAATGAGCTGGAAGGCTAGTAAAGAGTACTGCATCTCACATGGCTCAACACTTCCTGTGATAAAAGAGGAACAACAACTGGTGAGAACATCAAACTATTTTACCTGTTTTAACAAGTCCCATTACTGATTTTTTTTGATATACCTAATGATCCTCCTGAAAGGTAGAAAAGGAGTGAAGATAAACAGAATGTTCAATCTTCAAGTCTGTTCTGGAGGTTTGCTCTATTCTCTTGATTATTTACACAGCAATATAAATGTCTACAAGGGAGTTATAAACAAGACAATGTCGCACCCAAAGTCTAATGGTAAAATATTACATTGTCATTCTCTATGTGATCATCCTCTAGAAAAAGAATGGTAGGGAATGTTCCAGAAAGTCAAAAGAGAACATTAGTGTGGTGGTAGGTGAGAGAGAGGATTAATAGGCAATTGGAATGTATCCTGTATCTTACATCTCCTTGCAAAATAAAGGAACAAAATATTCAGAGGAGAAAATATGCTAAGCATCTGAGGTCCGAGTCTCCCTCTGTAGTAGTGATTCTCAAACTTTTTTGCCTGTGAAAAAGTATCTAGCTCAATGCAAAAATACCTGGCTCAATGTAAACCTTTCCATGGACCAACAGTTGCTAATAGAAACTCACCATTAGTTACTTAATTACCCACCAAGCCTTTTTGCTAGTGCTGCAGCAAAGGAGAATGTTTTAAATTAAATCATTAAACAGATTAAGCATTTTAACTTTCTCATGTTAGTTTATTAAACTTCACTTTAAATAAAGTAAAATACTAATTAATAGCCAAGAAAAAAGATTTCGATGTTTTTTTTGTTTATGGCAGATGTGGGGAGCCTTTGACCCACAGAAAAAGCAGTTGGGGACTGCACAAGAGAGAAGAAAACAACTCCTCCAAAAACCTCCAACCCTTACTGATGTGGCTTTCAACTGACACACCTCACTACTCCGACACTCCAGCCCCACTGGGTGCGGGGAAGGGACAGGGAAGACCGAAGTTCAGGGTTTCCCATAGAACAGATTTACTTTTTTGGGGATTCAGAGTTAGTGGATTTTGGGGATCCCCTTAGGCTCTGGATGGGGACAAAAATGGGGGGGTTCAGTGTGTGGGACTGGGCTGCCAGTGAGTGGGATAAGGATAGGGGGTGCAGGATCTGGATGGGAGGTAGGGTGCAGGTGAGGGTGTGAGGTCTGAGTAGGAGGAGGGGTGCAGAAGCAGGCTGGGATTAGGGTGTCTGGCCAGGGGGGAGGGAGCCAGGCAAGGGAGAGTACAGTGTGTGGCCAGGAGGGAGGGTGCATGAGCAACTGTGGATTGCAGGAGCAGGGTGGGGATAGGTGTCTGGCCAGGAGGGAGGGTGCAGGAGTGAGAGAGGGCACATGACTGGACTATGGATAGAGTATCTGGCCCAGAGGAAGGGTGCAGGAGCAAGCTGGGAGTGTGGGGTCTTGGTGGGGGAAAGGGGTGAATGGGTGAGATTGGGGTGTGGAAGTCTGGGCATGAGGGGGGATGTTTACCTGGCTTCGCGCCCCCTCCTTGCTCCCATTGGCCAGCCAGAGGCAGCAGCAAGGAAACCCTGCAGTCAGCAGAACTCACCGCCCAGTTTTTCCCCCCTATGCAGCAAGGAGCCTGGGCTGGCTGGAGCCCCATCCTTCCCTCCCAGACCCGACTTGCAAATGGCTCCATGCTCCCATCAGTAAGAAAAGATTCCAGGTCTCTCAGTGATCCCACCGCTCCAGACTGAGGCTGTGGGAGGAGCAGGGAAACTGCTGCACAGCATGTGTTAGTGTTACCGGTGATTTGCAATCTCAGCCACTCTGCTCCAAGTTGCCAGGTCCCAGTGCAGGGAGGGGGTGCCTGGCATGGGAGCAAGCACACCGTGCTGGAACCCAAGCCAGGCTCCCACATGCACCTAGATGGAGCCTGTCCTCATGCCAGGTGCTACTCTGATGTCAGGTCTGCGTCAGCCTGGCCCCAGGAGGCCCTGCATTGCAGCCCATGCTGGGCTAAAACTTTAGGCGTCCACTGCTGGGACAAAAGTCTTCAGAGAAGGTGCTGTGGGAGCCCATTGGGAGCCAAGTCCCGCACGCAGGCAGCCCACACAACACCAGAAACTCTCACTGCAGCAGAGACCTTGTGCCCACTAGTTCCCCACACAGGCAGGTCTGGGGTACCCAGCCTGTAATGCCCCTTCTGGGGGCTGAGCTCTGCCTCTTGCTGCCTGCAGTGCTGCTCAGAGCCACAACTTTCCCAAGCCTTGCGCTGCTTGATCCTGCCTGTCAGCTGAAGGTCAGGGGTGTGTGTGTGTGTGTGTGTGTTAGTTAGTTAGTTACCGGGAAAAGGTTTAACGTCCGTGACTTTACCGCTAGGACCGGGGTCCCGTCGCGGAGGGCAGCCAACAGGCTGACAGACACCGCAGAGTTTATAGGAAGAGCTTATTACATCTCAGATTTCAGCTGCTAGGATACAGGTTCCCTTCGCAGCGGGCAGTCTAGGAAAGACTGAGAGATGCCTCAACGGATCTGTCACCTGGGAGTGACATGATCCAAAACGCCCAAGCTCTTCCTATATCTGTCCCTTCTGCCCAGCTGAAGTTCTTTTAAATTGTGCTTGGTTCTGTTACAGCAACTGAAGGAGTCAGGTTAAAACTGAAACAGTTACAGGTTTATTAAAGAAGCTTATAAATCATATGGTTACAGTGGCTATTGCTCTATTTCTTAACTGCTAGCAAATATAGATCTTAAAAAAATGGTTACAAAAAGATAAAGATAGAAAATAGAAATAATGGTACCAAGTGACAGCTTAATCTTTAAAGAGCTCTAAGTCTATGTGTACACTTAAGACAAAGGACCACATCCAGGGACAATTTTTACCCCCTTCTGTGCCTCTCGACTCCAGCAGGTCAAGCAAGGGCCGGTCCATCAATTCCTAGGAAAGACGAATACGAGGTGGGCGTCCCCGTGGAACCTCGGGAGGTCAAACACCTAACCCAACCAGCAGATAGATAGTAGATTGACACTCAGAGTAAATGTGCTGCTGGACCCATCTTTATACCCATAGGGGCCCGTATCCTCTATCTTATCTAAGATGCCAAATTGTGTTGGTTCGTTTCGTGGTGCCAGTTCTTACAAGCAAGTTTCAACTTAATTTACACTTGCAAGAGAGAGAACTAAATTGTGAGTACGAGACATTTTTTTACTGGGCGAGAGATTCCTCCCCCCCGCGGACGGCTGTGTGTTCGTATCAATATGGGTTTTAGTCAAGGGCGCTCCTCAGCAGCCTCTTGGTCAGCAATTGGCATATCTCTGTTTACAGCCATTCATGGTCACAGCAGCCTGCATATCCAGGCAATCAAAAATGGATGTTACAGGGGGGTTCCTGTTTGGCTACACTGCCCCAGCTTGCAAAAGCCTGGCTGCCCCGCCCCCTACTGTCATTGGCTGGGTACACCTGGGAGCCAGTGACAGTGCCCCCAAAAGAGCAAGAAGAGGGTGACAGTCCCAGCCATGGCTCACTGGTTCCAGTGTTGTTCCAGCTACCTCTATCCCAATGTGGGAGGAGGAAGGGGGCTGAGCTCAAGCTGTGGACCACCTGAGAGGCAGCCACAGACCACTTGCGATCCACGGACTGCACTTTGAGAGCCACTGCTCTACAGAATATTAATGATTCTAGTTGAAATCAATTACTTGCATCTTACGGGACAATTGAAGCTCAGAGTGGAGTCCTTGGTAATGGGATGAAATTTTTTTAAAAAGTGGAAACTGAATATTTAGGTATCGGGTATAATAGGATATGTAGAGTCCTGTGCAGATACAAAATTTGTATCGGCATTTGCATCTATATCAACAAAAATGAACCACAGATATCTTCATTTGAGGATATCTGCAGATTTGCAGGGCTCTAAGGATATGGAGTAGTTTTCCCAAAGGGAAGTGATTGCAGCACCATTGCTTGGGAGCCTTGAAACTAGATTTTTACAAAACTCTAGAAAATGAACTATAGGAGATAGTCCTTCTCTAATCCTTTGGAGATCGAGTAAATGAACTAATAGTGCTTTTGGGATCAGTCAACCAAGAAACTGCATTATTTAAAGGGTGAGAGCCTGCTGAAAAACTTTTCAAATAATTCTTACATGTAAAAGCCCTCTAGCTGCCTCTCTCCCGTTCATGGGCAATAAAAAGACAATCCAAGCTTATAGTGCAGACCAGAGAAAAGTATGGGCATTGGTATGCAACTTTTGGAATAATAGCCGTTGAATAAGGTAAGAGGAATTTGTGAAGATTTGCAGGAAAGTACAGTAGCCAGGGAGCTGGGGCTTTGAGGACTTTTGGAATAAACTGGTGACCGTGTAGAAACAATCTTATTGGCCTCTGCTATTCATGGAAATGACAGGTCTTTTTGTGAATTATTGTCCAAGTTTTTCCCTTCAAAATATATATATGTTTTTTAAATTCCAATTGTGAAGACAATGGCAGTCTTCAAACTGCACTTATCAATAGTTGAGCTTTTCAGTATTTTACAGGGCTTGTATGTCAGAATACAAGGAAGCAAATGGATTCCAAAAGAAATCTTATTGGACATAAGATTAGAAACAGGAAGAAGTTAATCCTCTGAATTTTTTTAAATAAGTAGTCTACTTCATTGGAAATACCACTTCCTCAAGTCACAATGCCAACAGTCAATATTCATAAACCTTGACTACTATTTTTGAGGGATTGTCATTCCCCCCAGAGATACTTAGCAATGAGTGGAGAGGGGGAGGGGGAATGTTTCATATTAATAGTGTCTTCTTGAATGAATAATTAGCACACAGTGGCTTTTTGTGATCTTAGTTGACTTCCAGCTCCCAGCCCCTGAAACCCCGGTAAGAGTGGTAAGTTTATTCGCTGTGCAGAGACTTTAGCTGCTATTTGTTGAATCCTGCTTTGCACATTTTTTTGTCAGCTGCCAGGAATCTACTTTTCCTAAACATTTTAACATATTATGGCCTGGGGAAACTTTTCCCAAGAGAGTGATTATTTTGGTGGTAATGGGCAAGGGTTTGTTTGTTAGTTAGTTAGTTAACCAGTGGAAGTTTCTGTTGTTCTCCGTGTAGAGCAAATTGCATGAGAGGGAAAGTTCAGTTTAGCATGGACCTATATTTTCTGCTATTCTCATTACAGGAGAATATCAAGCGCTTGAGAGAGACCTATTACTATTGGATTGGGTTACAAAAAGAAGCAGAAATATGGCAGTGGGTCGACGGATCTCTGTTTAATAATAAGGTGTAAGTTTTTTTTATCTGTGACTAGAAACTTGGGGAAGGGGATTGGGTTACAAAAAGAAGCAGAAATATGGCAGTGGGTCGACGGATCTCTGTTTAATAATAAGGTGTAAGTTTTTTTCATCTGTGACTAGAAACTTGGGGAAGGGTATTGGCAACTGGCATATGTCTGATTGAAAGCAAAAAGAAAATGAGTTGCTGTCAAAGCAGAGTTAAGAAACTGTATGTGATTCTTTTTAATTCTTCAAGACATTTAACTTCTGCAAAAAATATAGGTTGATTGTTTGTAGGGATGTAAAATCTTGCTTAAAATGTTAACCAGTTATACAATATGGTTAACTAGCCTGCTCCAGCCATGCAGGGCCTGCTGCACTGTGCCGTGGATAGGGAGCTGCTCTGGCCCAGCTGGGCTAGGGCAGCCCCATAATGCATCATGGTAGGCCCAGATGGGCTGGAGCAGCCCCCTGCCCACAGCATGCCATGGGCGGGAGGTTGCTTGTGGTGTGGTGGGCTCAGACGGGCCAACAGCTGTTGTGGCCAGGCTAGACTACCCCTGCAGCAGCCCGGCTTAGAGCAACACCACACCCACAGCACAGTGGTCCCAGCCCAGCTGGGACAGCCATGGACGAAGTGCTGCGCCTGTCTGCCATGGGGCCAGTTAACTGGTTACCCTGGTAAGCATGCCTTGGCAAGGCAATGCTTACTTGGTAACTGGCTAACTGATTACCCCTTTACATTCCTAGTTTGCTGATATGCTACTAAAGACAGGAGCAAAATCTGGAGTTGCAGAAATTATTGGTGATGCTGTCTTTTCACAAACATTTATCTTCAGAGTGGAATTAATTCATTCTCACTAATTGTTTTCTTCTCCTTAGCATCCCATTGGAAAACGAAGATCCAGACCTGAACTGTGCATTCCTAAACGATGACAAACTTATTACTATAGATTGCACATCTTCAAGACACTGGATCTGTGTCAAAGAGTTCAGCTGAGCCAAAGTCAAGATTTGAATTCTCTGTCATGGAGTCAACAAATATTCATAACTTGAAGATGTTTTGGACAAAATACCTCAAGTAACCTATCAATCTCAGTATCACAGTCTGCTGGAGCTGTATAATTTATTTTGGTGTATGTATCATTCTTGTATGTAAAGAGATATGGAGTGTGGAATGGTTCATGGCTTTAAATGTGAAAATGAAAGTCATCAGGGTTGTTTCCCTTAATGTCTGGGTGATTACCTGTAAACAGCCTCTTTTGTCCTTTAAATCTTAGCAGCCGTTGATCTTAGTGTAGTCACATGTCTTCCTAATTGGTAGGGCCTGACCAGGAATTCCAGCCTATCAGGAAAGCTATTTAGGATTCAAAGTTTTCAGGCTCTTGGTTTGTGGCTGGCATGACACTCCCAAGAGAATTAAACCAAAGTCCCCCAGGGGCTAAAAGATCTTCCCTGGCTTGGAGGTTTAGCTGAAATAACAATTTTAGGGTAAATCTACAGTAAGCTTTAATCGGTTAGAACTAGCTCTGCATCTTCTGTTTATTTTAAATTTGTAATTTACTTTGCTCTGCCTGTTTTTGCTTGCAACTACTTAAATCCTAGTGTTTGCCTAACATTCAATGAAGGTGCCGACAGCTCTGTGTGGATTCTTGTGTTAGTTCCCTTTGATCCTTATCTGCTTCCTTTCCAATCTTCAGGTGCTTATAGGCACCAGCTCTGCCTACTTGTTTTTCCCTTTGATATTTTCATTCCCTCTGCTCCTTGTTTCCTGCCCCCTTCTCTCTTTCCTTCCTTTTTCTCCCCCTCTCTCTCCCCCCCACCATACCCCCTTTTCCTTCTCCCCTATTTATTTTGGGTATGCACATCCTAAACTCATAACTCTGGTCATCTGAAGAAGTGCACTGTGTGCATGAAAGATCATGATACCATCTACATGTTTTGTTAGTCTATAAAATGGTGCCAGAGCTTTTGTTGTTGTTTTTTTAAGTTTATTAATTACTTTTATTTACTCTCAAGGGTTCTTCTGTGACTACAGCCTGTCACATCTCTCTACTACTTCTAGTTCCCTGGACCACTTCCCCTATGACTCTTTACACCCTCCTGGCCCTTGAAGCAAAGCCAGCAGCCTGGCAGGTATTAGACTAGAGCCCCTCTCTAGCCCCCCAGAGCCTGCTCTGCACTGCTATCCTGAGATACTTCTCTAGGAACTGGTCCTGCCTTTTCTTTGGTAAGGGCTTAACTAACTCCCTCCTGTGGCGGGTTGCCATCATACCCATGACTACTGCAAGGGTGTGTCTGCAAATCCTGGGGCATATGGCCACTTGCACATATGTTGTCCTTATGGCCAGACTCAGGATGAGGGCCCTTCAGCTGTGGCTAGCATTGGTGTATGCATCAGCCAAGTACTCCCTTGAAAGGGTGGTTAGTCACCTCATGTTTTGAGGGCCCTATAATGATTGGCAAAGACAGAACGTGTCATGTCAGACATTCCATACCATTCTCAACCCCACTCAAGGGAGCTAGTGACCAATGCTTCAGATTGCAATTGGGGGGCCTACATGGAGACCCTTTCACACTCAAGGGGTGTGGTCCAACAGGAGAGGTCGCGCCACATAAATAGAGCTCAGGGCAATCAGCAATGCACGTGGGGTGTTTCTCACCTTGAATCACAGACAACACTACCACCATGTACTAGGGCTGAGCCCTAGGGCTTTGCAGGGAAGCTATGAGACTCTGGGAGCTCTGCATCCTTCACAGCATTGTGCTAGAAGCCCGTTGCCTCCCAGGGTTATGGAATACGATTGCAGACTGTCTCAGTAGAAAGTTTTCTTCTCACCATGAGTGGGCTCTGCACCTTGAGGTGACCACCTCCCTCTTCCACGATTGGGGCTCTCCACAAGTGGATCTGTTCACGGTGAAAGAGAATGAAATACAGCAGTTTGAGTGATGTCCCCATGGGTATTTCACTGTTGGTGACTGGTTGTCCCAGAGCCACAGATCAGAGCTTTTCAAGCAGTTGTCAGTTGGGCCGTGCATGCGCGAAAGGCGCCTTGTGCCATTTGCACCGTGGCACCTCACATGCATGGCTTGACCCCGCCCCCTTCAGTTCCTTGCTTACTGCCTCCAGTCGCAGACAGAACTCATCTCTCACCTCAGGTGTTTTTTCTTCACATGCAGAGTTAGTGTGGTTTTGTTGTTTTCTTAATTTAGTGTGGGTTAGTTGTTTCTTGTTCCAGTTACCTATTATAAAAAATATACATTTTTCATTGTGAGGTGAATTGCAAAGCGGTGGCGGAGCTCTGACTGCAAGACAAGCTGCTTGAGTTATTTCTTCCCCCCAGCCCCTTTAAAAAAATTAACAAACACAAGAGAGGATAGAAAGAAGACAGAGGGCAAAAGGCCTGCTACCAACAACATGCAATACATGTCATGACCCCATGCCTGTTTCAGATGGTCACGCATCCTGTATTCATTGCCCAGAGAAGGCTCACGTTCCACAAAAATATGAGCACTCTGCAGCCTGACAGCCAGGTCCAGAAAGGACAGGGAGCTTCAGCTCCATATGATCCTATCTGAAAAGGCTATGTAGCCCACTGAGGAGTCACAACACCCTCAGCCAGAGGCTGCGAAGAAGAGATCAGCCTCAAAATGAAAGCTCTGGCAAGATCTCGCCCTCCCCTCCCCCAACCCACTCCTAACTCCATCACCCAGGGTGAGCAAGAGACACGTGCCGGGCACTTCCAGCACTGCAGCGCCAAGACTATCTACTGGCACTGCTTCCTTGAGTTCCTGCACTTCCTCAGTACCAGCCTGAGCATCCTTGGCACCAGAAAGGTTCCACAGACAAACCCCAGCACTGGCTCCTTCTAGATCTCAACACCCGGCACCAGTGAAGGTATTGGCACTGATGGTCAAACAGGTCCCCTGCAGATCATCCGTGCTGCCTTCAGCCGTTGCAGCACCAATCTCAATGCTACCACTGTTAGCGACACCGGTGGAGGACCATTCACATGATGAGCACATAGCACTGTCTTGAAAAAGAATTCTCTGAACTGTCATTCATGCTTAAATTTGACACTTTACACCTCGGTCTAAACAAAGACATTAATTATCTTACCCATTACAAAGATAGCTTCCCCAATTATCACCTGTAATATCATTAGCTCACAGACATTTGCCCCCCAACCCCTTTCTGTTCTGAAATTTTATTTGTCCTTTTCATATGTGTTAATTTTTTTGATTGTAACCTTTGGTATATATGGTTGTGCCAGTTTTCTTCCACTATTTGATCTGAGGAAGTGGGTCTGGCCCACGAAAGCTCATCACCTAATAAACCATCTTGTTAGTCTTTAAAGTGCTACATAGTCCTGTTTTTTGAGGGCTACATTTCTATCACTATGGTACTGGAGAGGCATGAGAAGTGTCATTTTTCCCTCCCTTTGTCCAGGGAACCTTCCCTGGTGCCATTTTCTCCCTGTGTTTCCCCAGGCTCTAATACTGTGTTTCTTAAACTTTTTAAAGAGTGAGGAACACCAAACAATTTATGAGGAACACCAAGGATTTTTGTTGAGCAAAAAAAGGGGGGGGGGGTCCGGGGAAAAGCTATTGAAGAAAAAAAGGGGCTGGGGATTACTGAGCAAAAGAAAAAAAAGTTGCCTGCCCCTTTAAGGGCAGCCATTTTGAACTCTGTTTTTCCTCACAGCACACCAGTGTGCCAGGGAAGACAGTTTGAGAAACACTGCTCTACTAGATCTCTGGTGCTGTCTGAGCTCACTGCCTTCAGGGATGAGGATCGAAGGAGTGTTTCTTCTTTGGGTGATGTCCCCGTGGGTGCTCCACATATGCTGACGGGCATTCTCGGAGACGCAGATTGGAGCTTTTCCTAAGCAGTTGCTAGTTGGGCCGCACATATGCAGCAGGTGTCTCGTGCTGCCGGCAGTTTGACAGTTGAGCGCGGCCCAACCTCCTCCCCTCAGTCCCTCTTCAACTGCCTCAGGGCGCAGATGGAATACTCTGTCTCTTGAGGCACTTAATCTCTCCACAGAAACAGTTTCGCTTTCCACACTCTCACTATCCAATTAGTAAGAGATTACTTTATTAGATACTTTGTTTCACTCAAATTAAAAAAAAGGAAGAAAGAGAACAGGCTATTCTCCCGGCGCTGCCGGCTTCGGCAGCAGCAGTTCCACTCTCAATTAACAAAAACCCAAATACCACAAGGGAAGATAAAAGGAAAGAATAAGATTTCTGCCCTGAAGGGAAGAGGCTGCAGACACTTTGCTATTGAGCTCACCCGCTGTGGGCATTTAGTACAAGCAAGAGTCTCCCCCCCCCCCCCCATGCTGGGCTCTCAGGGCTCTAAGAAATATCTGTTCTTCTTTGGTGGTGTCCCCATGGGTGCTCCACTTGAGGTGTCGGGCTCATCCCGGCGCCGCAGGTCAGAGATTCGTCAGCTGTGGTCCAGCCAGACCGCGCATGCGTGGGGCGCGTGCTGCTCGCGCTGCCTAACAGCCTGCGCTGAGTCCGGCTTCCCGCCAGTTCCTCCTTACCTTTCAATGGTCGCAGGCGGAGCAACTCTCTCTCTCTATCTGTTATGGAAGATTGTGTAAATAATTAGTCAGCAATAGTTAATAGTTATTGAGTTAGTTAGTTAGTGTTTGTTCTATAGTACTTAAAAAGAAAGAAAGAAAAAAAAATGTTCTTAGCAGTTTCTTAATACCGGCTTCCTCCAGCTTTAAGAAGTGCTTGCAGTGTCAGGACACCATGCTGGCGTCTGACAGTCACTCACTGTATGTAAAATGTTTGGGTGAGGGGTATGTACCCCACAAATGCCCACACTGCCTGAATTTAACCAGCCGGGCAAGACGGGATTGTGAGATGCGGCTGAAGCTGCTCTTATATATCAAAGCACTTCAGTCACAAGAGCCTCAGGTACAGGGACAATCAGCACAAAAACCTTCATTGGAGGCAAAAATTCCGACTGCCTCCGCAAGAAGAAGTCAAAAATCAGCCAGACTCCAGCAGCAAGACGAGCGGCATGGGAAGAGCCTAAGTATTTCCATCCCCAGTTCCACCTCTAGCAAGGGGGCAGATTGGGCAATGGCTGTGCCTACAAGACCAGAATCCGCACCGGTTCTGTCTCACAGGCACTCTCGCTCACCCGCAGTTGCAGGTGCCCCTGCCCTAACAGAACTGTTATTGACCCCGGCGTTAGCGGCACCGATCATGCTGCCACTGGCCGCGCCAATTACTATGGCACCGACCCTGACCGTGCCGGCTCCAGCTATCTTTGTGCCGGCAACGGCGGCACCAGCCACTGCAGCACCGGCAATCACAGGGGCACCAATTGGCTCAGTGCCAGGTACCACCGCACCATCCCTTTCAGCACCAGCTACTGTGGCACCGAGCGCAGCACCGGCTGTCTTAGTGCCGGCTCAATACAGCTTCTCCCTGACGCTATCACTGGCACCGAGCTTTTTATCAACAGGCTCTTCATCGGTGCCGGCTGCACCAGCTGAAATTGACAAGCGCTGAGGTGCTGCTGTGTCAGCCTCCAGGGTTGCTCCATGCCGATGCTCTGATTACTCACTGGCACCGCAGTATCACAGCTCCCCCTCAAGTTCACAATCAATGATGCATGCAAGATCTGACCATTCCAAGGGCTCAAGGTTTCATTCCTCACTAAGCCCTGATCAAGTGCCTACCAACTCACTCTAGGTCATCCTCCTCGCTCTTCTCTGAGCCACGTGGACGTCAAGCTCACACTAACACTGGCTCCAGCAGACACACT